GCATTTAGTTGTTTTCTGAAAATTTCGATATTAGTATTTCGTTTTCACGTAACAAATATCTGAAAATTTCTGAAAATCGCATTTCGTTTTATCTGAAATTCCTGAGAATAACATTACGATCTACCTGAAAATTCCGATATTTGCATTTCGTTTTTACGCAACAAATATCCAAACTTTTCTAAAAGTAGCATTTCGTTTTCTGATGTTTTGCATACATAGCCGAAATTTCTGATATTCGCATATTTTCTGACTTTCGTATTTTGTTTTCTAGGCAAATAGGATAACGATAGGAATGGTCATATTCTCGGAAACTCGATTTGCTCGGTTMTGAAAATCGAATCTCCATCCTATCTCGCAAATTTTTTGAAAACTGAAATCTTRCGGGGCCTATCAGCATGGCATTTTAGGCATAGTAGCAGATTGTCATATTCGGAGAAACGGGATTTAGTCCTTTTCTGAACATCGCATCTCTACTCTATTTTGCAATTTTTTTTTTTTCAAGATTGCAGTTGCGAACCTAGCCTAGATCTCGTTCATCGTATTTTTCTGACATGTCTCACGCCTAATAGATCGACAGATATACAAAAAAAAAAAAAAGGAAGTAGTTTTCTTTTATTTTTTTATTATTTTATTTATCTGTTGATTAGGGCCGGAGGAAAGTATTGTTGGGTTGTTTGCCTACCTACGTTTCCCTCCCACCCACCCAACCCATTTGCATGCATTTCCGGATTGGTACAGTGCCACGTCAGACACAATGCCACGTAAGCAGTGCACGTCAGCAGTGCCACGTTAGACACAGTGCCACGTTAGTAGTGCCACGTCAGCATGGCCACGTCAGACACAGTGCCACGTCAGACACAGTGCCATGTCAGCATGGCCACGTCAGACACAGTACACGTCAACAGTGCCACGTCAAACACAGTGCCACGTAAGTAGTGCCACGTCAGCAGTGCCACGTCAAACACAGTGCCACGTCAGCAGTGCCACGTCAGCATGGCCACGTCAGACACAGTGCCACGTAAGCAGTGCCACGTCTGCAGTGCCACGTCAGACATAGTGCCACGTCAACAGTGCCACGTCACCAACATGACGGGCCTACCAGGCCAGCTGGCCAACGAGCCAATTGCCGACTACAAGAAGCGTTTCCAGGCTCAGCTCGCTGTAATCGAGGCTGAGGAACAACGCCAGCTGGCAGCCAAGGCTGCCCTGCTACAGGTTGACGAAGCGGCAGCAGCAGAGAAGCTGCGGCTACAAACCGAACCAGACGCAGATGCCCAGGCTCGCCGCAAGGAAGCCTAGGATCTGCTCCAGCCTCCAGCGGCATGAAGCCAGCAGCATCGACAGACTCAAGTTCTGGCGCTTCGAACCAAACGGCGACGAGGCAACACCGGAAGAGCAGCATAAGGAGTTCATGACCAAGCTCGTGACCAGGCTGGTTTACATTTGTAACCACGTACAGTCCGAGCTGGCGAACCTTCAGCGGGCTGTGAGGTACCACAAGGCTCAACACGAGGATGCCACACGGGCGCAGGACGTCCGTGTACTGGACCTGGAACAGGCTGTACCAGGACCAGCTGCTGGTGCTTCCAGCAGTGCATCCTGTAGCCGCCAACTGGAGGACCGCGTTGACCACGTAGTGACAATGCTCGGCGACATCAGAACCTTCGCTGCGCCGGCCACCACCATCAGCAGTCAGCTGCATACCTTGAAGACCGAGGTCCAACAGCTGCAGTCGATGAACGCGGATGGCAATCCGAAGATGTTCAAGATGCTAACTTTCAACCTGGAGAAGTTCGACGACTACACGCAGCAGGATCTGGTCCTCTGGTGGGAAGCATTCACAACGCAACTCAGGATTCTGCCCGTAGTCAAGCATGCGTACATCGGCGCCCTGTTCCTGAACTCAAAGGGCGGATGCCAAACAAGGTTGAGCCACCTGGCAACCTCCCACGGCGTCGACGTACCAGACTTGAAGGACAAAATCACATGGGAGGAACTGACACGGCTATGAAAGAAGCGGTTCATCGTCGACGACGCGCCGACACTCGCCATCAACCGTTTGTTCACCATGTCACAGGGCAACACTGCAACACGGGATTGGCTCACAGAGTGGCAGAAGATTGCGGCAGTGCCCAATCTGGACCTGCCTTTCACTCATCTCAGACGTGAGTTCTACAACAGGTCCTGTGCTGCATTGAGCCACACTCTTGGTGATCGCGAGCAGTACTCCACTTTCGCCGAGATTATCGATAAGGCGAGAAAGATCATCAAGACCAACAGGTCAGCTGCACACGAGAAATCAACATGGAAGCCGACCTATGTGGAGAAGGCACGAACTGATCCGCGACAGCAGCACTTCGCTGCAGTCCAGTCGGACAGTGGAGATAACCCAACAACCACTTCAGCATCAAGTGACGGAGATCAGGTGGCTGTTGTCCAGCCGCGCGCATCAACAAGTCCCGCAACAATGGGAAGGCGAAATCTGCATGGCAGGCCTAAAATGGACAGCCAGTACAAGTTCCATGGGTCAAGTTCGGCTTGACCGAGGCGGAGTACAAGGTCCGCAGCCGCTACGGCAACTGCTATTGGTGCAACAGCACCAAGCACAAGACCTCCCTGTGCCAGGATCAGGGCAAGGAGGATGTGCGACCCCACCTCAGCTCGGGAAACTTAGTTCCGCGGAAGGTGAGGCGACTCCACCTTCTACTCCGCCAGATTCGGCCGCCTTGCTGGCGGCCTCCTGCACATCTGGGGAGAACGCGAATGTCGCAAGTCCTCGGTACACTTACGAGGATTATCTTGTCCACTTGGTTCCACCGCTGGACCAGCCCCTCCACGTGCAACAGTCCACCGCATGCACGGTTTCATCACCATCGGCAACCGATTCGGCAGCTTCGCCGCAACCTATCGCCGGGGATTCAACGTCATGGTCAAGACCTGAAAAGCTCGACCCATTGACGTTCACGGACTTCCAGTGGATGCCCGTTCCCTCGACCGGACGATTGCCGACACCGCATTGCAACGTGCTTATGGCACAATTGCGGGACTACTTGCACACTGCAGTACCAGCTCCATTGATGGACGCCGGAGCAGAGGTTGTCGACCTTCACGTTTTCATCGCGAAGATCGACCGCGAGTTATAGACGCAACGGTACGACCAAATCGACTCACCATTGCTATACATACGCATTCAGATCGGAGAGGCGACCTGCAGTGCCTTGATCAATTGCGGAGCATCTCGCAACTACATCAGCCAGGACTTCATGGTACGCGCCGGCCTTGGCCCACGTGTCCGGAGGAAGTCCCAGCCTACGCAAGTCAC